AGGCAGCCCCCAGCCGGCGCGCGCGCGCGCGGCCTGCCCCGCCGGGGCCTGCGCACCTCGCCGCCCACCTCTCCTGCTCAGGGGGCGGCTATTTTTAGAAGGAAGGTGGGTGGAGACAGCCTTACTCATGCCGGAGGTGAGCAGGGCGCCAGGAAAGAACAGAAGGGTGTGTGTCTCGGCGCCCGGGCTTGTGGCCACCCGGAGCCTGTGAACTGAGGGAGCAAACAGCCATGGAGGTCTCCACCTCCCAGACCCTGAGCTTCCTCATACCTGGCTCCCGCCGGGCAAGGGCAGGGCCGGACTGCGAGCGACTGCACACGTCGGGAGTGGGGCCTGGCCAGGCAGCAGGGCTGTCCTCATGCCGTGGACAGAGCCAGACCATGTGGTGAACACCCCTGGGGAACAGAACCTTCAAAAGACAAGAAAAAGCACCCGCCTTCCAACCTCCCAGTGGGTTGCGTGCCAGCGTGGTGACCCCCCAGCCTGGGGACCCCCTCATGGTGTCCGCCAAGACTAGACTTGGGCATCTCACTTTGCGCCTCAGTTTCCTTATCTTTACATGAGACTTTTGCAAGGAATTAATGAGATCCAACCTGGAATGGTGCACCCTACCCTCCACCCTGTGTACCACCCTGTGTCCCTGAGGGTAGGGGGTAACAGGAAGGACTCCTGCCCTTAGGGCCCACCTCTGGCCCCAAGAAGGGGTGGGAAGGCTGGTCATCCCTTGGGCAGCCTTGGCTGGGGTGGAGCAGAGGGGGTGCCCCCAGATGGGGGCATGCCAGGGATAAATGCCACAGCCACTGGACAGCTCCGCTCTCACTCCACCCTCAATGCCACCCATGCGAGTGGCCCCCTACTTGGCACCCAGGGCTAGTCAGCCTGGGCTCTGAGCCAGGCCCCTTTCCTGGAAGGCCACTGGCAAAACCAGCTTGTCCCCATTCCCTCAAGCCCCTACCAGTGTGTGCGCTGGCCACCAGAAAGCGCCTTTATTTCTGCTTCAAGCCACAGAACACGGAGGGCGTGACCCACACTGAGGTGTGGGCAGGAAAGGGCAGAGACGGTGGTCCTAGGCTGACCCCGGGGGACAGGGTGCTGCAGCCCATGCCGCCTGTGGTGTCCAGTAGGCCCAGCCCCCCTAGGGCCTCTCAGCAGCCAGAGAGCAGGGGTCCACCATATCCTCCAGCACTGGGCAGGCACGGCTGGCCCTCAGAGCTGACACCCTCACCACCAGCCCCATCTGCAGCCTTCCCTGGTGCTCCTGGTAGACTCGAGGAGGGAGCTGCGGAAACACAGGGCCTCATTGGGGAGGGGGTGTGGCCTGCATCCAGGGCCCCAAGGTGAGCCTTTGTCAGGCAGCTGGACTGAGGCAGACCACAATGTTCCCTTGGGTGATGTGAGGGGAGGGGTGCCAGACACTCTTGTAGGGCGAAAGGGAGGATGCACCCCTCCCCGTGCACAGAGTAATAGGGGTGGCCCCAGAACCTCTGTGGGGGCCTCCGTGGTCCCAGTGTTTATCAAGGGGGTACCCACGATGCTGGCTGGGTCCTGGGCAGAATCTGACCGAGGCTGAGGCTTTGCAAGGTCAAGCATGGGTGGAGACAGACCCTTGGCTTGGCGTCCCAGCTGCAGGGGCCACCCGCTTGGAGGGCTGCTGCCCCAGGGCTAAGGTCTGGGGAAGGGAGAGGCCGCAGGGGGTTGAGCAGCCTGGGCTGGATTCACTTCCTCATCAGGGGATGACACTTCCCAGGGCAGGGCTCACCCTCCTGCCTCTTCCCCACTGCCTAGCCTGCTGTCGCCTGTGCCCCAGGACTGGCCCTGGCTGAGGGCTCTCCTGCCCACGCAGTCCTCCTCCAAAAGCTTCAGCTGGGGCACCTGCACTGGCCAGGCCTACTTCCCATGTGCGCCTGCGCCCCGGCCCTCCCAGGCCAGAGAGGCAACGCACACCTACTCCGACCGTGCTGTGGACGGAGAGGGCTAGGCGATGAGGGTGAGAACGTGTAGCCAGCCAGCCACACACATTCACTGTGCACCTCCCGCAGCCTGGGGGGAGCTTGTGTGCAGGTGGGAGGGGGAAGGTGACAGGGAGGGGACAGCACCAAGGCACCTGAGAGGCTCAGGGGGAGCAGATAGGTGGGGTGTGAGCAGGCTGGGGGCGGTGCAGGCCCCGCTTGCAGAAGCAGGTAAGAAGGAGGTCCTGCTTCTGTCCCACGGGCATGGCCGTCTCCTGCGCTCAGCACCCCACAGGCCGCCCCTCACTCACCAGCAGCAGCCCGGCTCTGAGGGGCTCCCCTCTGGGATCCCTCTGGAGGCCAGCGCAGCTCCCCACTCTCCACAGTGCCTGCCTCGCTGGGCTCCACCACGATGGAGGGCAGTCGCTGGCCCAGGGAAGGGCCCCTCTCTCGAGCGCCCACTGCAGCCTGCAGGGAGTGGGATGGGCGTCAGGACAATGCCAGGCCCGGGCTGCCAGCTCCTTCCCCTCCTGCCATTGCCCCCAGCCCCACTGGGAGCCTCCAGGGCCCTCCCTCCCAGTGGCCCTCCCCCGCACATCGTCCACCCCACCCCACCCCTGCAAGGGGCACCGGTGGCCTCCTGGGGCGCAGTGTTCCCAGATGCACCATAGGTCCCACCTGGGCTCAGCCCTGAGAAGCCCATTTTGCAGATGCAGCCTGAGGCTAGAAAGGCTAAGGTTGCACCGCAAGTAAGCCAGAGCTTAGGCATGCCCCCAGCTCCTCCTGTACCCGGAGTCCTGCGCAGCCCCTTCCTGGGGTCCTCCCTGCTGGGCCTCAAGGAGCTGGAAAGGTGTTGCCATGGCGACCTGCACACTGACTCTGGGCTTGCTCTGCTCATTGTCCAGTGCCCACAAGAGTGCGGGGGCTGCTCGCAAGCCTGCCCAGTGCCCTCAGCGTCTCCGCCTCCCATTCAAGGCCTTGGGAGGAGAGGCCCCAGGGCTACTGCACAGACCTTCACCCCTCGGTCCTCAGATGCCTGGCTGGCGCCCAACAGCTTGGTTCTCCTGCACCAGCCTGGCTCGCCTCACCATTCCACCTCTGTGCCTGTGCTGGGGCAGGTCCCCCTTCCTGGAGCTCCTGTCTCTTGCCTGAAGGGACAGCTGCATGGTGCATGAGTGCCTTCCCTCAAAGGCGCACACGACTTGAGAACAGGCAGGTGCATGGCAGGCGGGGATGTGCTCATGGCCTCAAGCCCTTGCTGTGGGCCACCTGAATGACACATGGCAGCATACACGCCTGCACCCCAGGCTCTTTGAACCAAGTGAGCCTGAGGTGCGAGAACAAGTGTCACTGGGCTGGGACTTCTGTGGACTGAAGAAGATGAGCCTCAGCATTTAGCTGAACAGGGACCAGCTGACCCTGCTGGGCCCCCCTCATGCTGGCATTGCCAGCCCAGGGGCTCGTTCCCATCTTAGAGTTCCTCCCCACGTGCCATTCTCCTCCCTGCGTCCCTCCAGAAGCCCTCCAACCTCCTGCCAGGGGCACGCTCCACTCTGGATCTCTGACCCAAGTGCCACCCTCTGTCCCCTGCCAGAGCGCTGTGCCAGCAGCCCCAGGCTCCAGACTACTCCCTAACATGAGAACCATGACCAGAGCCAGGCCGCTTCCCTTGTGTAGGGACCTCACTTTTTAGCTGCACCAACAATGGCCTTCGGAAAAATCGAGCTGGAGGCAGGGGACTGAGGCATTTCCTTACCCAGCTCAGGGCAAAGTGTACCGTGGGGAACAAGCCCAGGGTCCCCAGCACAGAAGGGTGCTAAGAAAGCCCAGTGGTTTGCCTTTGAACGCTGTATCCACCAGACTTCCATAAGAGAACAGATGCGTGAGCAAGGCCAGCATGAAGGTCCAGCGTGCCCCGTCACGGCCAGGGCTCGGCAGCTTCCTGTGGTCCCAGGACCCGATCACATACCTTCCATGCACATACCTTCCATGCTCGGGCTCCAGCCCCCTCGGTGGTGCTCAGCTCTGACACAGTGGGCTGGGAGGCCCTCATGCTGGTGCACTGCACAGAGACAGGGATGGCGAGCCCGCCCTCCTCCGAAGCCTTCAGACTGCTCAGCCCCCACACCCCACCCCTGCCTGAGGGGTCACCGGGCAGCCGCCACACCAGGTACCACGTTCTGCACCAGAGCGAGTGCAGGAAGGGGCAAGGTGGCCCTGCCTGGGGACCGAGGAAGGCTCCCTGGAAGAAGGGCAGCTAACAGGCAGCCTGCAGAATGAGCTGGAGGTGGCCAGGCCAGCTGGGAGGCCACCGAGGGAAGGTTCCCGGGATGAAAGGGGTTTCCGGAGTCTGAGAGTAGCAGTGCCAGGTTCACGGTAGCCAGGGTTTGTGCCCAGTCCCTCCCCAAGTGTAGACGCCCCATGTGTGGCCATGCCTGGCACAGGGAGAGGGAGCCGGTCAGAGCCCACACAGCAAGGCCTCTTGGAGGTCCTGCCAGTCACAGCCCCGGCCTTGGATGGCCGCCTGTGCTTTGGCTGTGGGGGCTGTGGGGCCATGCCCAGGGCAGAGGCAGTATTGGGGCGTGAGGCAGGGCCTGGCAAGCAGCAGGGACCATGGGCAAGAGGGAGGAGTCCTGGAAGGGGACTGGCTGAGGGACAGCAGCCGCCAGCAGGAGGGATGCCGTGTGCCTGCTGGTTGTGTGTGCGCGTGTGTGTGCCTGTGTGTGCACGTGTGTGCCTGTTGTTTGTGCACGTGTGTGCACACGTGTGCCCTGCTGGTTGTGCGTGTGTGTGCACACGTGTGCCCTACTGGTTGTGCGTGTGTGCGCGCGCCTGTGTGTGTGCGCGTGTGTACATGTGTTTGCCCTGCCGGTTGTGCGTGTGTGTGCGCATGTATGTGTGAGCACGCCCCTGCATCTGGGGTTGAGGACCTTGAGGCCCCCAGCTGAGGGGATGGCTGCTATTCTGGGAAATCAGGTTCCAAAGACCCTTCAGGTCAGCTCAGGCTCCACTGAGGCCCAGGGAGGGAAAGGGGCACGCACTGCGGGGGCACCCCCAGCCACACCCACCCCTGCCTCCACCCATCACCAGAGCCCATAAAATACCTGCGTCTCACAGCTCCCAGGTGTGCCCTTCCATGAAGCCCCTCCTGGGTTCCCACGCAGGACCCCAGGACTAGGTTAGAGCTCAGGACAGCCAGGGCAGGGCCCCAGAGAG